CGAATCCTGAACCCAAGCGAGTGTAACAGCCTTCACGCATTTATTTTGGTGAGAGCTCGCAAACTGATCAGAAACAGTCCTTTCGCAGTGGTGGCAGCAGCGCTTTCTTTCGAACAACTGCATAACAAGCCTTCTAAAATGTCTAATGTATGGTTGCGCTCTGTCGGGCATCCCCCTCCCCCGAATGGTCCATACGCGACCACACATCTTTTCTTTGTGGTAACAACTGATACCTGGCTGTTTCCCTCCACCATCTCCTGTGGTTCGGGTTGCCCCTCCCCGACTCTTCGAGGGTTTACGACACTCCAGCAAAGGTGGTATACGGTGTTTACGTGTTTTACTGTACATTAGTTCCTGCTGCCACATAATTTGGGTTTGCTACAGGAGCGGTCCCTGCGCACGGTCATCCCCCCCATAATTAACTTTGGAAGCTTGGACATTGAGCTTCGGGGTTTAGTTTTACCCTGCTTCCCGAGCTGTGGAATGGTTGGATGATTTCCGCACCCCCGGTGGAATTGCTTGGGAGCTGTTCAGTTTTCCCTCCCTGTAAAACGCTCTGGAGGAAGCGGTGAGGGCGGGCAGTTAGGGCCATAAACGCGAGTGACGGGCGCTGGGGGCAGGGGGCGGTGTGGGTGGAGGGGGTCTGGGCGCGTATTGGAAGCGTCTAAATACTTCCGAAGGGCCTGGGCACCCGAGCCAAGGGTGGGGTGGTTGAGGCGAGGCGCCCAGGGAAAAAGCCAAGAGCAGAGCCTCGGAAACCGTATTACGGAAGAACAGAAGGTATATTCCTCAATTAGGGTATATTGGAAGATCTGGGTAAGTAGGTATTTAGTTAGGTAGGTAGGTGGGTCTGTTGGTCGTTGTCTATGCAGGTCGGCGGGTTCGTAGTGACTGGTAGGAAGGAAGGAGGTACCACGACGAGGTAGTAGGTAAGTAGGCAGCTAGCTAGTTCGGCAGGCAGGTAGGTAGGTGGTGGGCGACGAGACTCCGAAAAAAGGACATGGGAGTGGGCTTGTGCAGCTCCAAGTCTTGGCCCACACAGCCGCTCCATACTGTAAGGTATCACTACCAGCCAGACCACTACCACGGTATTGCCACAGCCTTGTGGAAATGTCGCTTGATCCAATAACATTCGTGGCATGAGTCGCGTCAATTGCAGAGTTGGCCACGTATGGGTTAGAGATTGTGATGTCCAAAACTGAGGCTTGCCCGCTCTATGCAATCTCTGGGTGCCTAAACATGATGCCAGGACGCGCGGTCAAGTGTTGCTTTCGCAAATTCAGGTTGGCTTCGGGACGGGTCGCAGTTGCACGGCTCCCTGACAATTCGTAAGGTGTGCTCTTTAAGCGGCTGATGCGGCATGGAGAGTTTGGTTTGCTTCAGCACATGCCGTAAAAGATGCCATCGCGAATAATCGGTGTAATAATCAGGTACCTTGTATGCAAGCCCTTGGAATTTTGAAGCCGTTCGAGGATTTCATGTACAACTGAAGTCTCCCTTCGCGATCGCAGAAATACATGCATCATCCTGTTCTGTGCAAAACATGTTGCAGACAAGCACTCAGACAGTACCTCTGCTTCGTTTTGTTGTGCTGTGATGCAGGAGAGGTGTGTGTTCCAGATATCTTGGTAGATCCTTGCGTGGAATACACAACCACGTTCTCTTTGAGCTGCCCGCAAGACAATGTTGATTTGCTGCTCGCCTGCAATTCCTCCTTGTCGTTGTTTGTGGTATGCTTTCGCTCAGAATCAAGCACTAGCTGCTGACAGTGCACTTCAAGGCGAATGTCGTGTTCTTCCCTGACTTGCTCTGGAATTTTCACACTGCTTGCCCAGGTCCTACGTCCCGGACATTGTGGAGCCCTTCCCCACCACCCGCTGCCGAGTTTGCGGAGTGGGGCGGATCGAGAAGGACGAGGTCAGGAAGGGTTGGATGAATTTGGTTATGTTTGTTCTCAACACAACTCCCAGACTGGGCCAGAGGAGAATGCTGGACAACGTTTCGTGACCCAGATAGCGGGGAGCAAGTGGCAGGATCTGCAGCAACACTGCACGGACTTCTGCCAGGACGAGCGTGAAGGGTACTTCCTTGCTGACCTGTACTTTGGCCAGAACTCTGTTGAGTGACTTGGGCAGCATGGTTTTCTCGTCGTGGCAAAAGGAGGGAATTCCTGCCGTGTAGATCCTGAAACGATCGTCCGCATTCACAGCCAGCCTTGCTGTCCGAAATTTGAGCTGATCTCGACTCCGATCAGGACAGTGATCAACGAGGACATTCTGCCCAAGCAACGCAATCATGCCTTGGTGCAGTCGGAGCATCATCTGATAGACCGAAAATCACCGTTTCAACGCAAGATATAAACAAGAGGGTGAAACAAATAGGTATGATCAAGAGTAAGAGAAGCAGGAAGTCGGTAGACAGATGCACTTGTGGGCCACAGAATACAGGAATCAGCAAGAACCTGTTCAGTTTCGCAGATGAGTGTAGGAGACTATATCTGCTGACAGGAAAACACGAGCGTAAAGATACGTAGAAAACACGCTGACAGTGACAATTTCATCTTTTTCTTCGCATCTCTTTTCCTCAGTTTTTCTCGACTTGTCTAGCCATCTGTTTAGACGTCCATCCAATTGTTCAGTCCATTTTGTCCTTGTCTCCCCCTGCATCGCTCGTTGATGTGCCGGGCGGTCCGCAGTCGGGAGTCGCTTTGGATCTGTCGACAGGATCCTATCACGGAGTACAGGGAGCCTTGGATGCAATGCGCAGTGGAAACAGGCTGGAGGTCATCCCTGCTGCAGCAGCAGTCTCAAGTAGGAATGGCATATTGTAAAGGCACGAAAGACACAAGTAACTAGTGCATCGGACGACTCAACAGGTCGCCTCATTGCGAGCAAGTGCCCCAGTCAGTGCTCTGAGGTTTACATCGTCGACAGCCTCCGTCGTCGGCTGATGCCACAGCCTGTTGCTACAGTGCCCAAGCGCCCAGAGGCATCTCAAGACATTGTGTAGTCCGTGTGCAAGCTATGTGGCAACTGTGGCCCAGCTGTGTAGAATCTGACAAGCGAGCAGCAGGCTTTTTGTGCTACATGCTGTCTCCGCTGACAGGAGGAGGCCTCCTGCTGCCGAGTAGTGCAATCCTCAGCAGGTCAGATTAGTCTACGAAGGTCTAAGTCTGCCGCTCGCGTCAGAATTCCTGCTGTGCCGGATGTACGTCAGCTGAGGATGCATATCGCGCGCATATCTCGACGATGCTGCCAGCCGGTTCGGAGAGGCCGGGTTTGCCGCCGGCAGTGCCCGCGATTCTGTAGTTGATGCATGCTGACGCAGGGAGGAACACTGAGTCATCGAGAAAATGCAGTTGCCGAGCGTAGCACTAAGCAGGTTCATGGTGGTGCCGGTCACTCGCTATGGGCACGAGCTGTCCGCGGGTGTGACGAGCACCGTGGCAGAACTTTATTGAATACTGTGGAACTTGTGTTTGAAAAGGATTTGCGAGTGCAGATTGCCTACATGAGCAAAGGCAGGAATCAAAGCTTTGTACCTTCAAACGCCCATCAGGTGATGTGATTGAGGACATTGCGACTGAGGGACCTCACTTCTTGGGTACTATGCCGGCTACCAACTTCAGCTCCTTGCACAACAGGTCAGTTCTATGCATGCGTGCGTGTAAATGTTAGTGTCCAGAGTCCAGAGTCTAATGTGTTCTTTGCCTCGAATGTCTTCGGCCGGCAGACTTTGCGAAATGTGCCACAGATTCCACGGGAAGCCCCAGAGTTCCGACAATTGGCCAATGAGGCTTTCTTGTCCACACTGCAGTGGATGTGCAGGCTGGATGTGCAGTCAGATGAGTTTGCATGTTTCATCTTCATAAAGGCGAGAGACGCGCATGTGCGAGTGTTGGGTCGCTCCTGTTCTTGTGAGTGAGTCTCTTTTTGCCCCTGCACAGCTTGGTGACGGAACACTGGCGCTGAGCTCGCGCATGGGACACGAGGTCTCGCGTGTTGATCAGTCCGAATTCCAAGCTTTCTGGCTTTGAGTGCTCTCTTGAGCGACTCATGGCTTGAGTCACCGAACAGCCTCAAACGGCCACGTTCCTCTAGCCACAGAGACGAGTTCCGAACAGCCAGCCTCGCATTTCGAACGTGAGTCACAGCATATGGCATGTCGTTAAGAGCGTTCGCAGGTCATGGAGGCAATATTCAGCAGCCTTCCGGGTTTTTAAATTTTCGCAGGAGCGGATGCCGTGCCGGGAGCTGCGCCTGCTCCGACCCGGTGTGATTGTCGTGCCTTGGTCGGAGACTTCAGCCGCGTAGTGCGAGCACATTCAGACATTGACTAATGTGCTGGCGTGTTGGACTGCTTTGTTGGCTCGTGACACGGCAGACACGAATGTAGAGCATCAGGAAGCTTGATCAGTATGTCCACTTCCAGCATGTGACTTGGCGACTTGCTCTTCGTCCTCTCCTACTCGCTTGGTATTTCAGTTTCGTCGCTTGCACTCTGGACTCTGAATCAGACGAAGCATATGCAGACTTAGCCAAGCGATCGAAACCGAACCCAAGGTGCCCATACGACACCCGACAGAGTGTGGGCCCCGGGTTGAGTCGTAATCAGGGCATAAAGAGAAGTGTGAAAGAAACGAGTTTTTTTTGTTTTCGCTGCAGTTGCCATGCTCGGTGGTGCCCTAATTCGAACACTCTCACTTCATGTAGCGCAGCCTGCTCACCAATTCTGGGCTCACAGCGTGCAGCCCTCAGCTTTCCAACGACGGCCCCGCAGAAAGTCCAAAGCTCCTTGTCCTGCAGAAAGGGTGCTGTCGTGCTGCATTTTTCAACGCACCAAGCAGGGAATGTCCGATAACTCCTTTGTCAGGGTTTGTATATACAAACTGTTGCAAACTTCATCCGAGACACAGCGATTGCGTTTCAGCTTTCGAAGTTCGTGATACGTGGCAATCACTGAAGCTTCCTCTCTGACCTTGAAACTCCGAGGCAGAAGCCATGAGCCTCTTGCGAAGCGCCACCAGGCCATCAGAAGTCCATTGCGGCGTTAGCTCATGCTGGGCTCATTGCGTTCGTTTCTCTGCAGGATCGCCCAGGCCGGGCTCCGTCCGGCCGCGGGACTGCGCACAGCGCCGCTACGGGTTCCGGTCCGGCGCCCTGCAAAGTTTCGAGAGGCCTTGAGAGGCTATGCACCCTGGAGGCTCTGTTTGCGCACTGGGCACTCCCATGCGAGCAAAGGCCCCAATGGCATTGGTTGCTCCGCGCAGCTTCGTCACCCGCTCGCTGCCGCGTCTCGGGCACAACTTGGAGGCGCCTACACGGGAGGGAATAGAAAGGGTGTGCCTCCTTAAATAGTTTTCGGGATGCGGCAGTAAATACATGAGTCCGAAGTCTCCATGCGTGAGGGGGCATGTACAATCGGGTGGAGACTCCTCGTTGCATCCCAACGGATGCCTGATGCAGGACCACTTTGACTTCGCGGAGTACATGTGGCCTGATGCAAGAGAATGACGTCCGTCCGCTTCGGTCAAGCCGGCTGGGCTGAACGCCGAGGTGCAGGATGCACAGCCCCATTGGCGAGTACTTGATCTGGGGTGTGGCTTGGTGGCATTAGCACTTTCCGGACTCCTGCCATATCCTGCTCCGCCAGCTCATCCTCAGCACCTTCGTCATCGCCTTCGGCCTGCGTCTGAGCTGTTGCCTAGCAAGCCTTGGTCCTGGCCCCAGACCTGCCTCGCCGTTCCATTGGTGCTTGCAAAGGCCCGCTGCTCCATTCGAACTACTACTTCACCGGCCGATTCTTGCCCAAGGACTCTGTCGCAGAATCTGAAGCCATAGCTGTGGTGTGACAATCACATCTCGGTTTGTGATGCTCGAATGCTTGCTTGATTAGTTGGTCGCATTGGATTCTTGGCCGACGCATCCGAATCTCTAGCCGCGGACAGTGATAAAAGCTTGCGGCGCCAGGACCAGGGCAACTCTCAGCTTTGCGATGACAGCTGGTAAGCAGGGACGCCATTGACAGTCCCCGTGGGATCACGTTGCAGGTCGCACAGTAGACGAAACTGGTGATCCGGATGTCAAACATACTCCCTGTGATGTGCTCCCCCTAGCGCAGTGCCAGAGTCACTCGAGGAGAGGGTCCGAGTCGTACTCAGAGTTTAAACGTTGGCCATGTTGTTCAGCCGTTTACTGTCTTCTTTTACTCACTGGACCCGTTTCGTTTTGGCAGCCCACAGGTCAGGAGCTCCCTCTGAAAGACAGACCTGATTCCTCTTTTATCTTATTCGCCATACTGTGTCATTGTGTAAAGTGCCGCTCTTACCCAAATGGAGTTTTGGGAGCTACTGCCCGCGCTTCTTTCACGGTGTAGTGTAGACAAGAGTCCTGACATATCCTGACATGGAGGCGAGAGAGTTCTGGACCAAAAAAGTCGCTGCTTTGGTAAGAACGGCAGTGTCGAGCAGCGGCTCCTGACGGATTCCCGCACGGTTTGTGGCCTTGAGGCTGCTTCTTGGCATGGAGTACGAGGTGCCCTTCGTTTTGGCTGACAGGGCGTCCGAATCACAGTAAGGCCGTGTTGTAGCCACAGCCGCTGGAGAGAGATTGCAGCGAGCTGGCCAAGAGCTAGTGGTGCCTGCAGCCTCGCGTGAGCTCCTTTGTCGTCCTTGTGCGTCGGCCAGGTCAGCGTGCAGGGCGAGTGCTTCGTACACCGGAACGCTACCATTCTCCCGGCCGGGGTTTGCTGGGGCACGGTGCATGGATACTCCAATGCCTCAGTAGGTGGTGGTTGTAAACTCACGTCGATGAATCGCTGAGCCTTGACTCTAGAGTATTGAAAAACTTACAAAACTTGTAAACTTGTTCGCCTTGGACGGAACGTTGGATTGTTGCTGGCTGTTGTGCCCATGCAAGAGAGCACCCGCGAGCCATTGCAACACCGAAACACTGTGAGGCAATTTGCTGGACATGTCAAGTGGTCGTGTCCAAAGCTACTCATACTCATAACACAGATTCGTTGAGATTCTAAGCATTGTTCCACAGCAAACTAGTCTTGATTGCTGTTTATTATAGAAGCCCGAGTTTGATCCCATGGTTGAAAGCAGCGATGACCAGCCACGGGCTCAGCATGTTCGCATTGAATGTTGCGATGCAGATGCGGACGGCAAGGCCGAAGGATGCGTCTGCATTGCAAAGGGTTCATGGATGTCATACAATATGAGAAGCAACTGGCAACGGCTCTGGAACGAAGGGACAGATGCTGAAGGTCCAGTTAGAAGAGGTCCGCTGCACCTGACAGCCTCTCAAGGACAATCGAGCTCTTCGTCACGGGGAGAATCTGCCTCTTCGGAGAGCACAGCGACTGGGCTGGAGGCCTCCGTTTCAAGCAGGTGCATGGAAGAGAGAAACACAAAGCACATGCGGAGCAGATGATTGGTCCGAAGAGATGCAGGCTCTGTAAGTACGGGGCAAGACTGACGTGCTGTGTGTGCCTTGCATTGCCCTGCTGCAGATATGCCACTCAGTCCATGAAAGTCCTGCGGAGGCTACCGCCGCTTCAACTCAGAGGTCGTGCCCGGCTGTGCCCTGGTTTGTGGAACGGACCAAGGCCACAGCTCTCTGTTTTGCTGCGCCTCCATCAGTCTTCTCTAAGTCTTCGACCGGCCAGGGCTCTATGCGCGAGCCCGCCGTCTGCTCGGCGAGGGCAGTCGGCGGCTGTTTGCCGCTCAGTGCTTTTCTTTTACGACACCTTGCTAGCAATGTTGCCAGATGCCAGTTTGGCGGAAGTGCGCTCTGTTCCGCCGAGGCTTTACCGCTCTTCTGATGGGAATAGCATCCAGCTTGACTTAGACGACGAGACCGGGCTGCGTGTCGCTCTGCTGCAAGTACAGCTGGAAGTTGTAAGTCCTGCAACAGTTCGGAGCTTTCACTTACTGGAAGAAGTAGCCAAGCCAACCTTAGCAGGAGTTCCACCTGCCCAAGTGTTGAACAAGTCTGTTTACTCGCCTCCAGTGCGTCTTTTGTGACCAGGTCTATTGTCAGGCGCTTCTGCAGTGAAGGTATGTCAGCTCAAAACGCACCGAGCGTTCCGAGTTTGCGTCCTCCCCTTCGGTCTCCGTACTTGCGGAATCGGTTTCGGTGCTTACACGTGCTTGGGTTCGTTGGTGGCCTGCGACCATTGGCATTCTTGCTCGTACAACCTGTGGCGCTGTTTCTCTCCACTCGCGGAGAAAACAGATGTGCCCCCCACAAATCAGGGGATCCGCATCAACATTGGCCGACACTTTAACTTTAGAACGAACGCTCAGGGTCCTTTCCCTTTCGTTTGATCCGGTCTTCTTCAAGCCGCAAGATGCGCGGTACTTTCGGAACCCGAAAGCGAGGACAACACCCGTGTTTGCGGTTGGGAGATGTCGTTGTTGCATCACCAAGGAAACAGCGCAATCCCCGTCGACGTTTGCTTACATAGCAGGCCGACTGCAGACGAGTGCGGGATGCAGCCTTTTCGTGCATCTGGCACACTGACCATGCCTTAACCAGACAGGTTGTGTCTTGGAACTTGGCAAGCATTTCCGTGTCGGTGGTGCGGAGATCGTGAATTACAAGTCAGACCTTCCAATCAAGAGCTTGGGCTGCACGGCAGGGCAGGTGCATGCTTTGGCAAGACGGTGGGGCTGTATAAGCTCATGGAAAAGGGGAGAACGAATAGGAGCTCGAGGTTGTCAAACCAGCCAACCGACAGAAGAAGCTGTCGGCATGACTGCATTTCCTTGTGGCCCAGCCTATCAGAGGGTTGCACACTTCAAACAAGGTAGAGGCAAACCGGTCAGAACTTGAGAAATCTTGGCACCTTCGCCCGTTTTGCCGAGGAAGGGTCTTTCATCATCTGCTGCCATTTGCGTTCTCACCGTCAGAGCCCTCAACCAGCTCTACGTGGGTGCCCTACTGCAGCCTCGAGCTGCTGCTTCACCTCACGGTTCGGAGAGGATGCTTTCCCGAATAGCTTCGTGCTGCCGTTGAAACCCGCTTTGACTCAGGACTTGAAGCTGACTACACATGGAGAGATGGACATCGCTTATCGTGGTGAGGTCCGGCCAGGCCGGCAGGCCCTACAGGGGGTAGGAGTCCTCTTGTCCCCGAGATCAACACTCCTTCGCGCTGTGGTCGCCTGGATCAATGCGTTGCCTTCGGACGCAGAGCGTCAACCTTGGAACGCCTTGCTGAGCCATTGCCTCGAATTCCTAGAGCTGTTAGGTCACAAAGATGATCTTCGATTCCGACTTGCTTTCAACGGAGTCGGTGCCTCTCGGTCCAGTGGTCCGAAGGAATCAAGCGCGCCAAGCAGATTTTGCAGGTACGGGCTGCTGCCACTATCTACATGGTCGTGGTTGACCTTTGTGCAAAGAAGGACACAAGCGTGAATGAAACCGATCTCAGCCAAAGACCGTGTTGCCGAAGGATACCAAAGAGATCCTGAAATGCCTGAACGAGGCTGTGTCATGAGGGCAGATACTGTACTGCAGCATGCACCTCTATCGGTACTTGGCTGTGCCGCGCTTTGCCTTGCTTGAAGGCATACCCCTTTCCTCGGGGCGACTCGGATCGTGCGTTGCACGCACTTCTTGGGGAGGTGAACCAACGTGTCTGCCAGCTGCTTGGAAGGGCAACAAAGGAAGGCAGGCGGCTCAGTCGTGATCTGCCCAGGTCAGGACGCGCAGCAGATCCTCGCAGAGGAGAAGGCCTAATTGCCCCCGGCATGAAGCGACCTCGGAAGCATCCGCGTCACGCCAGGATGGCCGTGTGGCAGCAGAAAAACTCGGCGAGGCGGGGATGAGGCTGCTTCTCAGGCTGTCAAGACAAGGCGTCCCTCTGCCCAGCCCCAGGCCATGACAGAGGCGCAGCGGAGGTGGGATGAAATCGCCGTCCCTCTCTGCCCGCACGAGCTGACGGTGCGCAGTGCCATGTTTTGTCTGAAGCCTGCAGATGTCAGACTGTTGTTCAGCAAAGTGCAGTCTCGGCTTCGCCAGCTGTACATGGCACAGGCGAGCGCAAGACAGTAATGTTGCCGATGCTGGTGGTGGTGGGAGGGGTTCCGTTTTTTCTTGCACGCAGGACCTAGGAAAACACACCCCCTCAAACAAGATAGGCTCCCCTGCCACGTATTACCAAGGAGAGAGGTCAAAGCATCATACGAGTATTTACTCATTCCACGCGTATGGACTGACCTCTTCATGAGTAGCAGTGGCAGTGGCAGTGGCAGTATCAGTAGCAGCAGCCGCAGTCGCACATTGGCAGTGGCAACTGGCAGGAGCAGGTGCAGGAGCAGGGGCGGCAGCGGCGACGGCGGCGGCGGGCGGCGGCAGCGGCAGCAGCAGCAGCAGCAGCAGCAGCAGCATTCGTAGTGGTGGTAGTGGTGCCACGACGACACGACAGATAGTAGCAGTAGTAATAGTAATATTTCATACATGTATTGTGCTTTTGCAGAGAACTAACAGCAGGAAGAACATGTTTCTCCGCGATGCTCGTCGTGGTTGCGTCACGTCATCGCCCGGACCGATGTGCAGCCATCAAGTTTGCATCTTCATTCTCGTTGTCGTCATCGTCGTCGTCGTCGTCGTGAACATTCGTGTAAAGTGACAGCTTTTCAATGTTCGTGTGCATGTTGTGCAAGAGTCAGGAGTTTCGAGATTACCCTGCCATCAAAGATGGCTGCTCAAGCGCAAGAGAACTTCACCAGCCTGCGCTACCGCGCCATGTGTGGCCGCCTGAGGACCGAACCAACCTACAGTTACCGGTTGAAGCTTCCCGACCAGCCGACCACAATGCATTACCAGGGAAAGAAATTGCTCAGTCTAACTATCGGTAGTCGGCAACCTGCCGCAGATTGGAGATGGAGTGTAGATCCAAAGTACAAGCTGCAAGTGCCGGCACAGAAACAGTGAGGCGGTACATGCCCCACGTGCTTGTATATGCTGTGCAAGGGTCAGCAGTCTCGAGATCACCCTGCCATCGAAGACCGCTGCTCCGGTGCAAAGGAGCTATGTCAGCCTGTTCTGCCCGGCCATGTTTGGCCGTCTGTTCAAGAAGAGAGACCGGAACGAACCGACAGTCACCATGTGAAGCTTCCCGACCAGCCAACCGATCTGTACTGTCGAGCGGTGTCGCCCCCAAGCGCAAGCTGCAAGTGCCTCACCCTGCCATCCTAAGACGGCTGCTCGAGTGAAACGGAGCCTTATCAGCGTGTGCTGTTGTGGCATGCTTGGAAGGTCGTCTGTTCAAGCAGAGGGACCCGAGCGAACCAACAGTCACCGTGTGAGTCTTCCTGACCAGCGGACCACATTCATACCAGTAGCGTCAAGAAGGAAAAAGGCTTACTCGGTCTGACCGGCGGTGGACCAGCAACCCCACCACGGATTGGACATCGCAGTGTCGTTCTGAACATTCCTGACCCAAAGATCAGGATGCGTGCAAGCCTCAAACCCTGAAAGACATTGGCAAAGCCCACACCGGAAACGGGGCAACCCCAAACCCTCAAGCAGTTTGACAGGCACGCCATGGCTCGTCTTTTGTCGCGGAATGTCACATGTGAGCCTGCCAGCATCTCCTTTCGTTTATGCGGTTTGTCAGCCAAACTCGCTGGGTTTGGGGTTGCCGACCAACATCTCCTTTTTGGGTGTGGGGGTTACCAGTTTCTTTGCATGGTTTGTGGCTTGCCAACCAAACTCATTGAGGTTTTGTGCCAGCCAATGCGCCCAACTCGCTGAGGTTTTCGGGTTTGCCTACAAGCATCTCATCTCCTTCATCTGTATGTAGGGCTTGCCAGCCACACTCGTTGGGGGATTGGGGCTGCCGCTCACAATCTCCTTTTCAAATTTTCGGACGGGGGGTTTGCCAATTTATTTTTGGGGTTTGGAGTTTGCCAACCAAACTAATTGAGGTTTGCGGTTTGCCATGGTTACTCAATGAAAAATCACATCCGCCTGCGCATGCCGGCTTGCCAGGCGCCTGCTTTGCACCGGCTGCTAACATACCCAGAGCTGCATCTTGGCACGGCAAAGCCCGATTTCCACAGCTTTAGAGAGATGGTTCGAGAAGTTTTTTCGTACTTTTATTTACAAGTTTGGTCATTGGTTCGATGCACGAAAGTACGCCCGCCAGAATGCATTGTTGCTGGGAAGCTCAGGAAGAAGTACATCACCGGAGGTAAGGGAGCAGCAGCCTCAGGCAACGACGCGCTGCACTGGAACAGTTCTGGTGGTGTCAAGCAAATACACCACATGCCATTTTGGAGAAGAGTTCCCTAGCATGTGTGCCCTCTGATCTTGCGTGTGTGTCACATGTGCCGGACTCAAGAGTCGCAGTGGAGTCGCCCCTTTAGTTGGTGCTGCGTGCAAAACGGCCGCCCGTAGATCATCCACCTGTTGTCTTGTGCAACAGGTGGTAGCGGAGCTTCGGCTCTTCGACCCAGGCAATGGCTTATGGTGGATGGCACCCCGGAGCGGTCGGACAGCACTACTATTGGGGCGGCTCTTCAAGTGGATCTTGGCCTACGTGGTCGTCGGTGCAGGCCTCAGCCGGGCCTGTGGATGGAGCAGCTGGAGATGGCGATGGGCCGGCAGCGCAGCCGGACACGACGACTGATGGAATAGACGGGCCGGGCGACGGCCAATGGCAGCAGCAACCGTGGCAGGGACAGTCGTGGAGCTCAGCTTCTTGGGGACAAGGAGGCTGGCAAGGGCGAGACTGGCAGTCATGGGGCTGGTGGCAGCCAAATTCCACTTCCAAGGGCGACTTCAGCGACCCACCCACGTGGGGTGGACGGACGTTCCGGTCTGGAGGAGGTTCGAGAAGCTTAGCAAGCAGCTGGATTGGGATCTTCAGAGCCGCTTTGAGCATGTGGACGAGAAGGTCCTTGCGGGCCCTGGCTACCTGCAGGCGATCTTCGGCATCCTGGACGGCATTGCTGGCGAGAAGGACGTGTCTGAGAAAAGGCGAGTTGTTCGAGCGGCGCTGTTTGAAGGGCAGCGCAAGAAGGAGGAGACGCTTTCTCAGTTTGCCGTACGTCGGGAGCAGGAGTTCGCGGGCGCCAACCGTTACCTCACGATCCCCTCCGAGCTCAAGGCGTTCATCCTGGAGGAGACGGCGGCCCTTTCACGACAGGGGGTGCAAAACTTGAGGACCTTGACAGGTGGCGCCGCGGACTTTGACAAGATGGTCGGGGCACTCAAGACGCTGGATGTCGAGGAGGAGCCCCTCACCCGAGGCAAGGGCAGCTTTCTGACCGGGGCGCTCCAGAGCGAGGACGGCGACGAGGCCGACGGCCAGGACGACGAGGGGAGCGAGGCATCTTTCGAGGACACCGAGCGAGTGGAAGCCTTCCTTGCTGAGGTCAGTGGCGTTGAGGAGGGCGTGGCTCTGGAGATGCTGGCGGCCTTTGAGAAGGAGGCCGGCAACCAACCGCCGCGACGGCGGACCTGGAAGCAGAACAAGGACCGCAAGCTGGCGGCGAAGAAGGACAGAAGGGTCTTTAGCAGACCCAGGGTGAGCATGAGCGACCTGAAGGAGAGGACTCGTTGTGCCAATTGCGGGGAGCGGGGCCACTGGCAAGCAGAGTGCAAGAGGCCTTACCGCTCAAAGGAAGAGAGGGCTCGAGCTGAGAATCGCGACGACAAGGGAAAGCGAGCTGTGTCCTTTGTCTACCTCGGCTTCCCTGACAACGGCCCCTCCGAGAACACTTTTGTTGGCTGGCTCTCTGGTGGCAAGGGACCCGGCGACCATGACTCCGAGGACCCGATTCACCGGAAGGACCACAGCCAGCTGAAGGATCCGGCTGAGGGGGACGCTCTCGACTTCAAGGGGCCCGGGGAGACGCACGAGCAGCTTCGCGACGGCCTCTTCGATTCCCGGGCTTGCGGCCAGGGCGGTGGCGGCTGGTGGCGCGGCTTGGTCCTGGCCATGGCTTTGAATGTTTTCTTCGCGGTGGCACCTGGCCACGCTATCTTGGACATAGGCGCGGGCCAGGATTTGATCGGCGAGCCGGCTTTCAAGAAGCTTTGCGGCCGCCTTCGTGACCAAGGTCTACGTTGCCTCCGCCTGAGCGAGGCGCCACCGGCGGCACATGGGGTGGGAGGACAAGCCAGCCCGCTGTTTCAAGCATTGGTTCCCTGCGTCCTGGCTGGCATCCCGGGGGTCATCAAGGTGACCGTTATCCGCGAGGACATCCCCCACCTCCTCTCGGTGGGGCTCCTGGAGGCAACCGGGGCCGTGATCGACATGCAGCGGAACACCATCGACTACAAGGAGCTTGGCACGAGTGAGGCTATGATTCGCATGCGCTCTGGCCACCGAGTGGTGGACATTGCCTCCTGGAAGAAAGGAGACTCTTTTCCAGTGCCACCGCACCTTAGCTCCGAGTTCGGTCTCACCGAAGGCGCCTTCAACCAAGGAGTGAAGCTCACTGGGTCCGCAATGGAAGCATACATGGTGCGGGGGGGTCCGGAGATAGAGCAGCAGAGTACGCCGTTGAGTGGTCATGTCATGCAGGAGGATCCCGAGTACACGAAAGAGCACCCACCCGAGCATGTGATCACTTCTTGTCTTGCTTCCTCTGCGCAGTTGTGTGGTCATGTCGTGCCGGAGAACCCGAAAGAGAACCCACCCGAGCATGTGATCACTTGTTGCCTTGCACAGCCTTTTGCTCGAGGTGGGAATAAGCCTTTCCAAGCTGAGCGGCTCGCGTCACATGGAAAGCACCCCCGAACACAAGTGGAAGCGCTTGGTGGATCGACTGCTGAGCCGGCGAGTGGTGAGCCAGGAGCCGGTGATCAGCCAGACATGCAACCACCCGCCCGAGTCAGTGGTCAATGGCGCAAATCAATATGGCTCCTGGCAGCGTTGTCTGCTATGTCAGACAAAGATCAGCTATGTGCCGCACCGTGCCAAGCCCCCGGCCAAGGCTGGCAAGAAGGCGGTGGCGTACACGAGTCAGCCACCGGCTGTGGCACTGGAGCGCCGAGCGGGCCCGAGCAGCAAGGAGCGTGGGGCCGAGATCGTGGAGTCCTTGGGCAAGGTGATGGCCGAGAGCACGCACCAGCTGCAGGTGGCGATGGCACAGTGCAACCAGCAGGTCTTGGCAGGGATGGCCCAGAGCAACCAGCAGGTGATGAACGGCATGGGCACCATGATCCAGACGATGCAGTCCATGCAGGCCACGCAACAGGGCATGATGCAAGAGGTTCGCGGCCTGGCGGCGATGGGGATCATGGGTGCCGGGAGCACCGAGCTGCCGGATGCGGCGATGCAGCCACCCTCTGTTCACGGAGTGGCTCCTTGCGGAGGCCGGCGGCTTGAGTCCTCAGTGGGTGGCGGACCAGCTGGCAGCGACGGCGGGGTGGAACCAAGGCAGCCAGTGAGCTGCAGTTTGCGAGGCGGACCTCGAGGCCATCTTCATCGAGGTCCTGGTGGCCTTTTCTATGCGGAGGCGGCGCAGCTTGGAGGACGGAGGGTGCCGACGTCCTTGTGGGAAGGGGGCAGCCGGCTGGGGAAAACCAAGCCGCCTGGCTGCAACAGTGCTGTGACGGTGGCCGGGTGGCGTGCGAGAACTCTGGGTGACCATCTCGACAACCTGGACCTGGAGGCCGAGCCGGATACCAGTCTGATGGCTAAGGAGCAAAAGAAGGTGCGACGGGCGGCCCGGAACCTGGTGCTGACCCACGGCGGCCGACAGCCTGAGCCTCCTCGCCCCCTGGTCTTTGTCGTCACCGAGGCGCGGGAACACCTGGAAGAGGCGACCAAGAAGAACCTGAGGGCAGAGATCGTGCACTTTGACCTCGGTGGGAGCTGGAGTCCGCACCAGCAGCGTCGCAGGAGTGCGCTGCGGGCCCTGGTCCACAAGTTCAAGCCCAACCTGCTGATCACAAGCACCCCGACGAGTCAGGGCGATGGACCTCGAAACCAGGCACGGCAGCATGTGTACGACAGCTTCTGCCAACAGCTGTGCCAAGAGCAAGTCGAGGGCGGAAGGGAGTTCGCTTGGAGACCAAGCGGTCACCAACTCCATGCAAGTGGGCTTGCGGCTGCTGTTTGGACGGAGACAGAGCACCCGGTGATGACCGTGCCGGGAAAGGAGCACAACTTCATCACCAACGACGTGGGCATCCTTTGTGCGAACGTCTCCGGCGGCAGCTGGGTGGAGGCAGTGATCGGTCACTACGGCCCAATTCGTGAGGCAGAGCGGCACCACCACTACCACAACGAGGGCGAGGCCGAGGAAGATGACGAGGCGAACCTGGACATGGAGGAGATTGGTGGTGATCTGGCCGGGGAGGACGACGGCCGGGGAGTCGGTGACTTTCCTCCAGAGGAGGAAGACAGCCTGGCTCGCGCCGGGCCCCGGGAGCGCGAGATCGCCAAGCTGGTGGTCAAGTTGCACGAGAACATGGGGCACCTGTCCAACGACCGCATGATTGTCATGCTGAAGGCGGCCGGGGCCAAGGAGGATGTGATGGAGTTTGTGAAAAAGCGTTTCTCTTGCGAGCTGTGCAGCAAGAGACGACGGCGGGTGGCTGCCTACCCTAGGACCTATACTTTCAATCGCATTGTGGCGGTGGACACCTTTTTTTCTTCCGTGGCGCGGCTCCTCCATTCCCATTCTCAATGTGGTGGACCATGGGAGCCACTACCAGGTGACCGTTCCCATCAAGGAGCTGGACGGCACCGACCACCGAGGCGGCACCCCTGGTGCAGAGGAGGCCTGGCGAACCTTTCTGGAGGCGTGGGTTCGGCCCTTTGGGGCTCCGGAGATTGTTATCAGTGACGCCGGTCCGGAGTACGGGGGGGCCTTTACCAGAGGATTGGAGCTGCACTCGGTGATGCAGCATGTCACCGACGCTGAGTCGCCTTGGCAGAATGGGATTGCGGAGAGGCGCGGGGGCGAGATCAAGAGAAGGGCGCTTCTCAGCGAGGGCCAGACGGTCGTCACCAACCGCGGCGACCTTGAGATGCTGTTGGTGCACCTCACGGCCTGCAAGAACCAATGGTACACGCGTGCTGGGTACTCACCGGCGCAGCTGGTGTTCGGGCGAAATCCAAGGATACCTGAAGAGCTGCTGTCGGACCAGGTGGCCCACACTCCAGGCCGACAGGTGGCGACGGCAGACCCCACGGAGCTGGAGGACGGCGAGAGGTCCTATGCGCAGAGCTGCCGGATTCGGCAGCGGGCACGGGTACTCATGTTTGAGAAGGAGGCCCGCGAGAAACTGCAGAGGGCGGCCCGGGCACCACGACACATAGACCAGCAGTTCTCTCCAGGACAATGGGTCTACGTCTTTCGCCGGGCGCCCTCTCGAGCCCGGTGGTCGGGTCCAGGGCTGGTGCTGCTACGTCAAGGAACCACGGTTTGGATAGCGATGCGCGCGAGGTTGTGGAAATGTAACAGCGACCAAGTCAGACCCGCGAGCAGCACGGAGGCCCTCGGCGTGGAGATTGTTAATTCGCTCCAGTTCCAGGACTTGCTCAAGAACCTCGGGGGGAAGCGCGCTGGAGCAGTAGATGTGACTGCTGAGGGCAGCCCGCCCGAAGACGCATGGGAGCAGCCAAGGGAGGAGGAGGGACCCGTTCTTGAACCAAGCCGGCGGAGGACGGATGAAGAAAGCGAGCCACTCAGACCTCCCCCGGCCGAGGTGGGGCCACCAGCGGAGGAGACAGCCGAGACTGGAGGACCATGCCGGGTGTCAATCCAGAGCACCACCGCGCCCAGCGAGGGAAGCAGCCTGTCCGAGGAACCTTTCCCCAAACGTGCTCGGGCTGAACTTGAGACCATCGACGAGGACCAGGGCGAGAATGATGATGTGAGGGCCCGGGCGAGCTCGGTGGATGTCACTCCTCGCGTCCCTCTGCCGGCAAGAGAGGAGGCTACCGTCAGGCGCCGCTCGAGATCTCCGGTCCCGCCAGTGCAACGAGCCGCTCTTGAAAAAGCCCAGGGCCAACAGCTCAGTGAGATGCAGGCCCGTGCGGCCGACACGCCTGGGGAACGAGGCTCGGAGGGGACTCTTCAAGAAAGGGTCGAGGACCTGAGGCGGGTGCGGCAGGACAGAAGCGGCGAGGAAGAGAACCTCCTGGGGGCTGGGCCATGCTACTTTGGACTTGACGTGAACGAGAAGGGCCAGCTCAACTTGGTGACGTGTCGCAGCGACGAGTTCGACATGCGCAAGGCCACGGCGGAGGAGATCAAAGGCTTCGAGGGGTCGGACAGGACCGAATGGAACAGCATCGTGGGCATAAACGCGGTGAGGGTGTGGCGCGGCCAAGAAGCACGTGAACTCAGAGAGCGCTATGCTGGCCGGATTCTTCGCAGTCGCATGGTGAGGCGCAAGAAACCTATGCCGGGGGTTGGGAACTTCAAGTACAAGTCCCGATGGTGCGTGTTGGGGTTTGACGACCCTGACAGCGAGACACTGCGCACCTTTGCGCCCACACCCCAGGCCGAGATCATCAACCTTTTCTTCCAGACTGCCCTCAACCTCAATCTCAGCGTGGTCTTCGGAGACGTCACCTCGGCATTTTGCCAAGGGAAAAGACTTCAACGTGCAGCCGGCCGATTGTTTGCCGAACCTTGTCCTGGCATCGACGCGGAGGCCGGCGACCTGGTTGAGCTTCTGGTGGCGGTGTACGGACTCGAGGACGCTCCGGTGTGCTGGGCGGAGACCGTGCGGGAGTTCTTGTGCGAAGTGCTTGGGTTCAGACGATCCCTCCTGGATCCCTGTCTTTTCCTGGAGCAAGATGAGAGTCTGCCTCCGGCCGAACGCACTCAGGCGATGATACTGCTGGAGGTGGACGACTTCAACATTGCCAGCAGGCCGAGCTACGAGGAGGAGTTGCTGACCAAACTTCGCGAGAAGTTCCTCTTCGGCAAGTGGCTTCGGGGCGAGGCTGACTTCAACGGGCGCCGGGTGAGGATCACGGACACGGACGTGTACATGCACCAGGAGAAGTACGTGGTGGAAAAGCTCAAAGCAATCGAGCTCTCGAAGACCCGCCGAGCTCAGAAAGACAGCCCCTTGCTGGAAGGAGAGATGGAGTCCTTTCGCTCCATGCTGTACCGGGTGAGCTGGCTGTCACACCAGACCCGTCCGGAGGCGGCCGGGATGACGAGCATCCTCTCCTCGAGGCTTCCACGCGCCACGGTGGCAGACGTGATCGTCCTGAACAAGATGATCGGCCACCTTCGTTCCACGCCCAAGCAAGGCATCCGGCTGAGACGCTTCAATCCGGAGCAGATGTGCTTCATTGGCATGAGCGACGCTGGGGGCGTGGACGGCAAGGGCGTGGGCGACGAGACGGGGGCCGATGGCATGATCGAGGACCCGGTTCAAGGCTCCTGGCTGGTTTTGAGCAGCGACCGAGTTCCCTCACACGACGAACACCTGAGGGTATCGGTCTTGTCTTGGAGGTCGACCAAGCTGAAGAGAAGGGTGACCTCTACCTTGGCGTCTGAGACGCTCTCCTTTGCTCAGTGCCTCGGCGAGATCGAGTGGATGCAGGTGCTGTACCGGGACATGGTGTTCGGTGACGTTCAGGCCGAGACGTGGCACAAGATCGTGCAGCCCTTCACCTGCCTTCTCCGAAGCGGTGGCGCTCTTGCTGGAAGGCAGCCGCAGTGTGGCATCACCGACGCGAAGTCCTTGTATGATGCCCTGATCAAGTGCCATCCGGCCAGCAGACAGGATCGGCGAAACGCCCTGGAGCTTGCGGCGATCATCGACTCGATGAACCGCGGAGGAGGAATGGTGCGGTGGACCCCTCACCAGCGCATGGCCGCCGATATGCTCACCAAGGCCGACATCACAAAGGGCAATGGAGCATTGCTACACTTGCTTCGCAGTGGGGTGTTGCACATAGATGAGGAACAGAACGAGCTCAAGCGCAGAGAGAGCCAAGACGGGAGGTCGCGTTCCAGAGCAGCCACCCACCGTTTGCTAAGTAGCGAGGAGGCGGCTGAAAGGGCTGACCTGTTTAACCATGCATTTTGCGTGGCGCGCAAGATCAGCACAAAGTTTGGGGAACTGTCAAGCAAATACACCACATGCCATTTTGGAGAAGAGTTCCCTAGCATGTGTGCCCTCTGATCTTGCGTGTGTGTCACATGTGCCGGACTCAAGAGTCGCAGTGGAGTCGCCCCTTTAGTTGGTGCTGCGTGCAAAACGGCCGCCCGTAGATCATCCACCTGTTGTCTTGTGCAACAGTGGCTCTGCCCATTATTCTCGAGGTGGGCTCCCAGGGCGATGGCTCTGCACAGCTTGTCTGCCGGTCGAAGGCTGACCAGGATCCTAGATGAGTGGTTTCTGTCTTGTTGAGGACTTTGGTATTGCTAGATTTGGAGGCTGTCGGAAAGATTGCCTCTGCGAGCCTGCCAAACGCTGGATCTACTTCTTCACTGCGCCCACCCAAACCTCAGGAGGAGGTGGTGAGGATTGTAAAGTCCTTGGGCATGGAGCCCCTGGAGCTCACCATCCCCGAGCTCGAGCCTTGGTCTGGTGGGTTCCCAGCCAGAGCCAAGGGGCAGTGATTCAGATGATTCGGTGGCTCACTGATTGATTCTTCGATTTCTGTAAATTTCTTGAGCACGTGGATGTTGTTGGCAGGCTGGATGGATTGCTGGATCCAGTTGATGATGATGCTGGTGGTGGTGGTGGTGCTGCTGCTGCTGCTGATGGTGATGATGCCTTTCCACTCTACCGTTACCTTGCCGGACTTTGGCCTGCTGTCAGTCTTGAACAATGGCGTTACACCATGTGTCAGCACTTGCCCTCCACCGCTATGTCTGTGTCTTGCAGTTTCCCTTCCGAAGCGCAAGCACCACCAAACACCAACCTTACTCTCTCAACCCCCGTGTGCACCTGAACCGACAAACAAACTCAAGCGCTGTTTCCCTGTGTTCCAAAAGTGTCCAGAAAGGCACTCTCAATTCAACGCCCATTGCCCTCCAAACCCGAGCATCTCCGACACTTTCGCCGATTGACACGCTGAGGAGTAGTTTGTGCTGTCTAGCATACTCGGGTGCTGAATGCGGCGAGGCAGAAGGCAGTTCGCACAGCGATTGTTCCAATCGCAGGCGCACCTGTGCTGCGTCATGCAGTTGTCAGGAATATGCTCAGCCCAATCAGGTGCGATTAGCATCACAAGCTTGCTCTGTTCGTCTGGCTTGTGCAATTACTGGCATCAGAGGGCTTCAACATTGCATGAACTATCGCAGGACTGGAGGTCTCTGCAGAATGAACGTGCAAACAGCCCCACATCCAGCAGCGCAGTGCGAGGCACTAGCAAACCATGTTATGTCATGGCCCACCATATTCAGAGCTGTTGCGTGGCACTAATTGTGTTATGTTGTCTTACTGGGAATATTTAAGCTAGCTTTCTTGGCCTCGACCTGTCAGGTGCCTGCCCTGGCATCTGGCCTGCTACGAAGTGCGTTGGGCCGTGGCTGGTCGACATGAGGGGAACGACGGGGTGCTGACAGTGTCAGCAGTCAAAGCAGGTCTATTCGGAACAACGTATCATGGCACAATGCGAGGCGACCAGGCATCATCATCATCATCATCAGCATCATCATCATCATCATCATCATCCAGAAACACACAAGCAAGCGTACATTGGAGTTGGGGATACGGCAAACAAACAAGCAAGCAAGCAAGCAAGCAAACAAGCAAACAAGCAAACAAGCAAACAAGCAAACAAACAAACAAACAAACAAACAAACAAACACACACACACACACGCACACAAGACAAAGGAAGTTGACACTAGCAGTTGTTTCCTGTAGTTGGAGATACGGTATCACGATGAGAAAGAGTTGCTATGCTACAACAACGACCGCAAGCGGGGGACGACAAGAATCTGTTTCATCTTCAGGTGGCTTTTTCCAGTTCGCAGCCGGGGGCTGGTGAAACCAGCCATCGCATGGCACCTTGGCAGCAGCGTCGCGCGTGGTAACCTGAAATCTTGCGTTGGCTGTCCTACAGTGATCGAGTGTCCCAGGCTTTGCGAAGAGATGTCTGCTGCCGGCATTGCAGCTGGGAAAGGATTTGGGCCCCTGCGAGTCCGTAGGTATGCGGCTGCATTTCAAAGTGCATGGCCTTGCAGCCTCTCTTGTCGATGGTAGCGGCCACACCACCCAGTCGTATGCGTGCCTAGGAAAAGATCCTGCTGGTGGTAAACCACACGACCGAAGTGGAGATGACAAAGCTCTTCAAGCAGCGCGAGGAGGCTGGACGACAGGGTCCTGACTCTTCAATTTTTCGGCAGATTGACTTGGAGTCCGTGACTATCGATGCACTGCTAGATAAACTCTAGACTCTAGATGGCAAAGTCGTGCGAGGTGTCTGTGCTGAACGGAGTGGGGATGCAGATGGAGGACCCGAGAAAGAATCCTCGCATGCCGTCTTAAGCAGATCCTCTCGCCCGTGAGGACTACGACGAGGTGCTCCTGGCCATAGGCCAGACCTGTTGTCCTATGGCATGGAAGGGCCCACCGTCTGCACACTTTTGCCATGTGAGAAAACATATGAGTACCGACTGCACCTCGCAGGCAAGAAGATTTCTTTCGTGCGCCAGGTGGGGATGCTGGCGAGGAAGGGCTTAATTATTCCAGGCAAGAGGGCTGCCAGCTTTGGGTGAATGCAGGCAGTAGAACTATAGCATGATGATAATCTTCGTAGCTGCAGAGATGGAAGGAGAAGCCCTCCAGCATTCGTGACGCGCTGCTCCTTTGCGAGCGCGAGGCCTGTCGTGCTCTGGGCTGGCGTGATGTATAAGGGAAATCTCATTGGCACATATTCGCACAATTGCAATGAGATGAGCAGCTCCACTCGAACATGCTGGGTCATGCGGCCCAAGTGAGTGCTGGTTCTTTCGGATCAGAGGTGGGGGCCGGGCAGGCTGTTCCCTTTGTGCGTTTCAGACCCATCTTGCTTTCAAACTCCCCTTGATCCTTGCTTTACCCCGACCTAGCCGAAAGTGTCAGCGGCACCTGTAGGTTGTAGAAGAAAGTTTTGGGGTGACTTCGTAATGCAGGTTGGAGCAGGTAGTTGGAGTTCAGCGGAAGCAGTTTTACATGCAGTGTGTTGGCTTCATTGGTCAAGTTGTGACTCGGATAGGTCGCCGGCGAGCCCTTCCTCCTTGCCTGGGGTGACCATTTCAGTCGGTCGACATCGTCCGCTTGGCTCCGAGACTTCCGAGGTGTGAACAGCGGATCGACGTGCATGGTCCACGGTAGGCACTGATCCTTTTGTCCTTAGGATCATCGCAGCGTGGTTGCGCAGCTCTTGGAGGCCTTCAATGGACGGCCTCTAGCCTGGGGCTCGGCCTCCGCGAGCACTGCATCCGAGAATCTGTGAGTGTGTGCTTTCTAGAGGCTGCCATGCACTGCGTGGACAAGGACTCGTCGCCATCCGAGCTTTCTGTCACCTGATGGCACTGGTCACTATGCCGCGCTTTCGTAGCTCCTGAGGCTCCATCAGACTGGCGTTTACACATGCAAGGAGCCCGGGCTTGCAGAGGACAAGTGCTTGTTGCGTCGACGTGTCTGAAAGGAGCCCCCATCGCCGCTGCCCCCGCCGCTGGGTCCAAAGACGCCTGGGCCGGTGAAGGCGCTGTGGCCGCGGCTCGGAAGAAGTTTCCTTTCGGGGAGATCCAGATGCACCTCCGGTCGTGCACCGACGGCTTCCCCAGCCATCAACCGCCATCCCAGAGGCTGCAATAGCCAGCATTAACATGTCTAAGTGTCAACGCAATTTTTAAAAAGGGCTCGGAAACACCAGGTCGCCTGCGAAAACCCGACAATTTTAGGCGTACATTCGTTTTGTGTCGTTACGAAAATGGTCACACTATTTATCATATTCCGTTCTTACCCCTCAAACAAATCAGGTGTTCTGTTTGTACGTCTTAATTTGTTTCCCCGTTCTGTGAATTCCCTGAGTGCTCTGAATTCCCTAAATTCCTTAAATGTCATCAAATCCATACAGAATCCCCAAGTCAAGGACATGGGGTTAGGAATCAGGGAATTTAGTGAATTTCAGGAACTTCGGGCGTTTGCTGCGCAAGGTTGGCCCCTGGTGGGGGCAGGGGGCATATATGTTCATGTGTCTTTATATAGACACATGCATACATACATACATACATACATACATACATACATACACACACACACACACGCACATACATACGTCTCCTAATTATCGGCTAGGTAGGTCTGGAATTGGGGGATCAGTTTTGCGATCGTAAGAACTGCCCTGAGGCCATTTATCCGTGGCCATTTTGGCACGAGCCGATCGGCCGTGCCCAAAAGAACCCACCCACTCCGCCCTTTTCTGTTCTT